TATCAAATTGCATATAACTTTTTCGTGAGGTCTGTGCGCACGACAGAATCTGTCTTCTTTGTGGCGGGTTTTTAACTCTGTCTATCTTGCCTCTCAGTTACCTACTAACTGTTTTATGCTCTATTCAGACTGTAACCTACACGAACCAGAATGGCTGGCTCTGCTCTCGTATTAGACCATCCATATCTCTCTCAGAGTCGGGTTCCTGCGAACATCGCCACCTTTCTGATACCTTTTTATAGGAGAGAAGCTCCCCAGTCCGCCCGCACTTTGTGAGTTCCAGGGTAACTCTTTCAGGGACAGAGTCCTGTCCGAATACTGTAAACGCCAGTAAACGCCCGACATGCTGCCAGGTGTGGGAGTGTGTGGGGAAGGATTCGTTAGACCTGCCTTGCTTGGACACCCCTGACCATCGAGCAGTGCCATAGGAGAGATGCTGTGTTGGCCTGGCCGTTGGGCTCCTTAGCTAGAGCGTCGCCCCTGCACCAAAGAGTCAACGGTTTAATTCCCAGTCAAGGGCACTACCTGGGTTACAGGTTCGATCCCCTCCCTGGGGTGCATGCACCAATCCATGTGTCTCTCTGACAGCATGTTTGTTTTTCATCTCTCCCCCTCCCTTTCACTCTCTCTGAAATAAATATCCTCTGGTGAGGATTAACGGGAGAGGGGGGGGGGGTGGGGGGAGGCTGTGCTCCCATCAAACCTTTCTAGGCCCAGCTGGCATGTTTCGGTGGTTGAGCATCGACCTATGAACGAGAAGGTCACGGTTTGATTCCCAGTCAGGGCACATGCCAGGGTTGCAGGCTTCATGCCCAGTGTAGGGTGTGAGGGAGGCAGCCGATCAATGATTCTCATCATTGATGTTTCTACCTCTCCCTCTCCCTTCCTCTCTGAAATAATAAAAATATATATTTAAAAAAAACTTTCTAGAAGCACTGAAATGTCTGGTCCAGCTGACCTCATGAATCAGAAGTGGCTCAGAAAGGCTGGACCTGAAATGCCTCAGGCAGTCGGCCAAACAGGCCCTACCTTGCCACCGAAGGAGGGCTGGGTGTAGGTTTCCTCCTGGACCAGTGACCGGAGGCCTACTTGTACCAGCTGTCATTGTAGACGATCATGGACTAGACGGTAAGAAAGGAGCTCATTCGCCTGCTCTCTGGTTTCCTGGCTCTAGTTCTTGCCAGCCTTGGAACTTCTCCCAGGAAGCCTACAAACCCTAGAACAGAGAGAGGAAATCACTGCTCCTAGACCTACAGACGTGAGTCCTCTTGCCTCCTGCAGAACTGTCTATTCTCTTCACTTATATATATAAACACTGGGAGGATTTGCACTTAAACACCCAACCTGAAAACAAGGTCCCAGCGTGCTCTCCCTCCAGGGAGCATGCCCGTGCCATTCCCTCCCCCTTCTCCTTCCCCCCTAAACTCCAAGGGGCCCCATGAGATTGCCCCCAGGGTAGCTCGTCCTGAGCTAACAGCCTGACCTGTCTCCCAGGCCTCCTTTTCTCTGACTTCCAAGTGAGCCACAGCAGCCCAGCCTAACCTCATTTCCCCACCATATTCCCCTCCTGTTACCCTAGGCCCGTGGTCGGCAAACCGCGGCTCTTTGGCCCCTTGAGTGTGGCTCTTCCACAAAATACCACGTGCGGGCGCACACGTACAGTGCGATTGAAACTTCGTGGCCCATGCGCAGAAGTCAGTATTTTGTGGAAGAGGCGGTATTTTGTGGAAGAGCCACACTCAAGGGGCCAAAGAGCCGCATGTGGCTCACGAGCCGCAGTTTGCTGACCACTGCCCTAGGCTCTTCCTTGTTTCACTGTTCTGGGTTTTAATAAACACCCTCTAAAATTCATCTGGACCGTCAGCTGATTTCACAACAGAAACTTTGCAGGCCAGAAGGGAGTGGCAAGAAATAGTCAAAGTGATGAAAAACAAGTACCTACAACCAAGATTACTCTTCTCTTCAAAGCTATCATTTAAAATTGAAACACAGCCCTCATCGGTTTGGCTTAGTGGATAGAGTGTCGGCCTGCGGACCAAGGGGTCCCGGGTTCAATTCCGGTCAAGGGCACATACCTCAGTTGAGGCTCCTCCCTGGTTCAGGCCCTGGTAGGGATGCATGCAGGAGGCAAAAAAATTGATGTATTTTTCTCACATCAATATTTCTCTTTGTCTTTCCCTCTCTCTTCCATCCTCTCTAAAAAATCAACAGAAAAATATCCTCAGATAAGGATTTTAAGAAAATAAAAATAAAATTGAAACACATATAAAGAGCTTCCCAGACAAGAAAAAGCTAAAGTACTTCATCACCATCAAACCAGTATTACATGAAATGTTAAAGGGTCTTCTTTAAGAAGATCAAAAATATAAATAATATAAATAATAAATACATATCTATCAATAATTGAGCCTAAAAAACAAAATAAAGGAACAAGCAGAAAAGAAACAGGTTCATAGATACAGAGGATATTTTGACTGTTGCCAGGTGAGAGGAGGGTTGGGAAATGGGTGAAAAAGATGAAGGGAAAAGTAGAAATTGGTTGTTACAGAATAGTCATGGGGATGTAAAGTACAGCATAGGGAATATAGTCAACAATATTCTAATAACTCTGAATGACGTCAGATGGGTACGAGATTTATCAGGATAATCGCTTAGTAAGTAATATGGTGTCCAATCATTGGGGAGTATACCTGAAATTAATAAAATGTTGTATGTCAAGTGTAATCCTACATAATAAAGAGCTAATATGCTAATTACACCTGACAGCAGAATGACCTTCCAGAACGACCTTCCGGAATGACCAATGAGCGGCTCTGAGGCAGCCGGGGCTATGAGTGGTGAGCTCCTTGCACGAATTTCATGCATTGGGCCTCTAGTTGAAAAATAATGATTTAAAAGACCGAGGCAGTGGGGGTGGGGTGGGATGGGGAGAGCATTTGGGAAAAAATATCAGGCAAAATAATAAGACTTAACACAGAACTATTCTGGATACCCAAGGGATAAAGTCACATTTCCACTGCTGGCCAAGCCCACGGCTGCAGGAAGTAGATAAGAAGCCGAGAAAAGCACAGTTAAAGCCCCTAGAAGGGCTTGGGTTATAAAAGGAAGAAAAAGGAAAAACACCTCTCTCTGCTTCTTACCCTCTATCTAGGTCAGTGGTTCTCAACCTTGGCTGCACGTTAGAATCACCTAGGGATCTTTTTAAAATCCTGATTTCTGGGCCTCATCCTCCAGAAATTTTCTTTCTTTGTTACTAATGTTGTGGCCCCACCCCATAACAAAGAAACAGAATTTCCAGAGGATGAGGCCCAGAAATCAGGATTTAAAAAAGATTCCCAGGCGATTCTAATGGGCAGCCAAGGTTGAGAACCACTGATCTAGGTCCTTTTGCATATTTTTGGGTGGGTTTTAAACAGTTACAGCTGGGTTCTGACTAGTCACGCACCACTGCTATGGCTCGCGTCATTCTGCCCTTCTCCTCCCTTTGCAGACAACACCCCAGCATTCAAGTTGTGTGGGGACCCGAGACTGCTGTGCTGCGTGCTTTCACTGAACAGGAACGCACAGCTCCTGCCGCTCCTCCAGCCTGGAAAATGCTTGCTGAGTATCTCACCGTCAGGGCAACGCTCCAGTTTGAGAAAGATGGTGTGGTCTTGCTGCAGAGGCCCTCGATGGCCAAGAAGATTGTCGCATGCTTCTGCTCTTCTCCATCAGTCTCCTCTTACCCCATCCTGTCCACCTCCTCCTCCACCCCTCAAAAGAAAGCTACAGGTCATAGCTCTAAATTCTGAACCCGCCTTGCAGGCCACCAGGTGTGTTGTGTGCTGCACAGCACAGCCTTGACAGTCAGCGCAGAGCTATATATTTATGCTGATACATCTTCAGCTGGTGGCAGTCAAGCGTTTTGAGTAAGGGGTGTTTTTGGTATCGTGTGCACAAGGGCACCACTTACGATGGGGGCAGTACCTTGAGCCTAGCAGGCCAATGTGGGGGCAGAGCTGTGTTACCCCAGGTCCGCGGGTTCATGGAGGAGGTGACTGATTAAGTGTGGAGACAGGACAGTGCACTCCAGGAAAGGTAAACAGCCATATTTTCAACATAATTTATTACAGGTGTCTGAAGGGTATATAAAACGTTTTAGTGCAACATCTTACAAATAGTTTTCCTTTTTAAAAAAAGAAACAAAATCAACAGCTCTCTACATCATGCATGGGTAGTTTTCTTACCCCACCTCTTTTTTTTTTCTTCAACTATTAACGCAGAGAAACCATTGTTTGAAAAGAATATGAAAACTTGCTACAGAAACACCCTGGTCAAAGAGGGTGTGGTCATATCCATGTAGCACAGTGTAGGGTTCATGAATGCAACATTGTAGATGGAGAGAAGTCAAGAGGCAGTCTCTCCTGGTCTCAAAGCTCCCGTCGGCAATGTGCAATGAGGTCTCCCAGCCACTGGAGGGCACCGTTACCATTCATCTGACACCACATTTCCATAGAAATGGCCAAAAAAAGGAAGGTCCTGGGGATTTTCATAGAAAGCTGGAAAAGCTCCCCCTGCTCCCCCTTTGATGGTATCCCCAAGCCCATAGAAAAGACACAGGAAAGAAAAACAATTATTAAAATACTGGCTTCGGTTTCTTTTCTTTCAAATTTCCCGCGACGATTTCACCTGTGTAATGACGTGGCAGCAGCTACCTTTCTGCAGCTGTCAATCAATTCAAACTCAAGTCTCAGGTGCACATCCCGGTCCCAGACAGCCCTCTGGCATCTTTCCATTCAGACAGAGGACCAGTAAGTCTTCTTCCCTCAGTGACTCAGTCTGTAAGTTAGGGTCAGCAATTTCCCACTGAAAGCCCACAGCCCTGAAATGACGAAATGGGGCCAAAGACTGCCTTCTTCCCTCACCACTGAGCCGGATATGCACCCTACAGCATTCGTGCAGCACAGTAAATGGGAACGGGCATGTGAGCCTGCGCTCTCACAGGAGAGCGAGCACTGGTGCACCTGCAAGGAGTAGAAGGCAGGTGTGTGTGAGCCTGTCAGGAAGTGCTTCCCTTCAGCTGTGATGGAGCAAAGCACCTGCTGAGCACCCCAGACCCAGAGCAGGGTCAGCACCCACATGGCCTGGGGAGCCCCCCGCCTCCCTGGAGGCTGTTCAGTCTCAGAACAGGGTTTCCCAGCGATCTCTCTGGTTCGACCTAGCGCCCAAATCCGTGCTGGCCTTTTCCAAACCGGGAACTCCCTTGGGATTTGAGATGCATGCTCACTGAGAAAGGGTGATAGCACCCTGGCCCGCAAAACACGGGCAAGTCGGGGCATGAAACATCTTCGTGGAGGGGTGAGCACCTGCAGCCGCTGCCGCTCCCCTGGGGCCCCGCTTCTGGCCTATAAAGCAGCAGGGTGACACTGGCCTTTGTTGGACTCTCAGGGACATTTAAATAAAATGCTGCCATCACAACGAACCACCAAATCACCTAAACCGCAGACACGATCTGAGGAAGGGAAGGTAAAACCCCTGCGGACAAAGGCGTGTGGTGCTTCCTCCGGAGACCGGGGACCGTCAGCGGAGGGGGGGCCTCCCTGGGCGCGGCAGCAAGAAGCAGGGAGAGATCAGTGGTGAGGAAGGAAGACATCCGTATCTTTGAGGAAAACCTAACGGAAAGGAAGGAGAAACCCAGCCTTCACACCTCCAGGGAGGCATCATTCCTGCCTGCTCCCCGAAATCAGCTCCCACAGCGGGCTGCCCCCTGTGCAAGGGGCTGAGCTGTGCAGGCCCCAGTGCCCTCTGCCAGGGTAGTGGGGCTGCTTGGGCTATGTGTTCAGCTCAGCGCTGTCCCCTTCCCCGGCTCACTGGCCACTTTCTCTTAAGAGTTTGGCAAAGCACCTTAGCACGGAAGCCCACCTGCTCAGCTACCAGCTGCAGACTGCCCTCGGTGACCGCATCAAGCCAACAACTAGCCCTTCTTCCTCCCTCCACTAACCACGGGCTCTGACCGACCTGCAAGTCAGTCGCTGCTGAAAGCTCCCCCTGCCCACACTGGGGCTTTTGACTTGTTCTCCAACCAAGGTTTCGGATTTTTTGGCAAGGCTGGGAGGACGCCGATTTCCGCCTCCCTGGCGAAAAGGCTGGCCGGCCACCATCTCCTGTCTCCTAATGGGCTTATGCAGGATTTCTCTGGCACAGACACAGTTCTTGAAGCAAAACAACAAAACTCCAGCTGAGGGAAAAGATCAGATACAAACTGGGCCCACACTTCCCATCATTTTCAAGTCTCACGAAGGAAGTAAAAAACGTTCGGGTGTCTTTTGTTCCACTGGTGGTGGCATTTTCAAGTGTGCAAAAACCAAAGGTCCTGGAAGGGATTCCTTCACTCTATAAAGTCCGTCTCTCCTTTTCTCATCCGTTGTACGTAAGAGCAATGCGTCCACAACATTACGAAATCCAAAAAGAATAAAACACGGGTTTTTTAAAGAGTCCAATAGAAAGAGTGAGACCCCTGCGACGTCTACCTATTACTACCTGTGAGTAGGCGTGGCACCAGCGCCGCTCACTACATTACCAAGAACGAAAACAAGAGACCTAATGCCGCGGGATGACCACACCTGCCCGGAAATCGCTCACCCACCGGGGCCGCCACCCACAGGCAGCAGGCTGCCTCTGTGGCTGGCCGGGGACTGTGAACACATCGCGCGTCGGACAGTTTTCTGGGAGGGCTGTCCGGAGTCTGGGTGCTGTCTGCTGTCCCATCACAGAGCGAGAGGCAGCGTGGGGGCCCTCGGCCCCTGGTGGCCGGCGTCCCCGGGGGGCCCTCAGTCTATGGCTCCTGGGTGGATGCTGAGGACGGGCGGCTCCAGGCAAGTGGGGGAGTAGTTGAGGTGCGGCTCCTTGATCCACAGCAGGGGCACCCCGTTCTTCCCGTCCGAGTTCTTGCTGGAGCTCCGGCTCTTGAAGCGCACCAGCAGGATGGAGATGATCAGGATGCCGAAGATGGGGAACGGGTAGAAGAAGACGAAGTAGAAGAGCGCATCATTGGAGCAGATGGCGGACTGCAGGGTGGAACCTGAAAGGGCCGGGAGGGAGATGAGACAATGAGGGCTGAGGACCTGGGCTGTCAGCTTTTGCTCCTGAAAACCTGCTCAGCTACCAGCTGGAGACTGCCCAACCCCGACCCCATGGAAGCCACTTGTCCTTCCCCTACCGCCACTAAGAATGGGGACAACCTTTATATTTTTTTTTAAATATGTATTTTTTTTAATTGATTTCAGAGAGGAAGGGAGGAGAGAGAAACATCAATGATGAGAGAGAATCACTGATGGGCTGCCTCCTGCACGTCCCCTACTGGAGACTGAGCCTGTCAGAGAATAGAACCGGAGACCTCTCAGTGCATGGGATGACGCTCAACCAACTGACCCACACCAGCCAGGCCTCAATCCCTACTTTGGGCATAAGGAATCAGGTCAATTCCATGAACTGGTATGCAGATCCTAAATGCTCGGGACAGGCGAGAATGCAGCTCATGAACCCATAATCCAGCTGTGATCTTTATCTTCCAGGCAGTTGTAATCAACTGGGACCTCCTCCCCCTGTGAATCGGGAACACTCACTTGTGTCCAGCACTCGGATGCTGATGGGGGCCGACTCCTCCTCCGTCAGCCGGTACCATTCCTTCTGGGGGCTGGGCAGCCACTCCTCCACGCGGCAGGAGTAGTTGCCTGTGTCTCGGGGGCTTGCCTGCAGCACCGTGAGCCTGTAGAGCAGGGGGGACAGCCTCTGGAAGCAAAGCCTGCCCTCCCAGGGGCCGCCCTCGGGGCCAAACACGGCATCGGGGCCCACGCTCAGCAGGGCCATCCGCTCTGTTGGGTCCTCTTCCTCTTCCTCCTCCTCCTCCTCGTCCTCGTCCTCGTCCTCGTCCTCCCGTTCTTCCAGGCCAGGGCTGCCCGTGTTCCCCCCGGCTTTAGTCCTCAGGGAATACCAGGCCACCGCAAAGCGCGAGTCCTGGCTGGAGCGCGACACAATGCTACAGTCCAGCTGGAAAGCTGCCTTCTCGGTCACCGTGGCGTTGGGGACCACCGTGTCCACCTGCAGGGCGGCCTCTGGGGGGACAGGGGACACAGGAGGGAGAAGAGCCTGTTTTAATTTCTTTGCTCGAGACAACCTCAATGTCCATCACTAAATGCATTGTAGTACATCAGACAACAGCATGCTGCGCACCTGCTGGGAGGGATGAGGCAGCGCTATGTGCAGAGATGGGAAAGGAGAGTCAAGGAAAAGCGCTAGAGAGCAGCACGCTGTGTTCCCTACGCGGCATGGCAAGCAGAAGAGCACGTCTTATTCTGACGTGCATGTCTATGTTTGCGTGGGGTGCCCGTGGAAGAACTCACAGACCTGGTGCTGTGGCTGCGTATGGGAATGGGGGGGGGGGGCAGTTATTTTCACTGCAAACCCTTGCAGTGGTTGAATAGTGTGTCCTCCGCCCACCCTCACAAATTCACGTCCCCCTGGAACCCAGCATGGGGCCTCGATTGGAAACAGGTTCTGTGCCGATGTACTTAAGTTACAATGAGCCCTAGATCCAGCGACTGGTGTCCTTATAAGAAGGGGAGAGGCCCTGGCAAGTGTGGCACAAAAGTTCGCTGGTTCAATTCCCAGACAGGGCACACATCCAGGCTATGGGCTCAATCCCCAGTAGGGGGCGTGCAGGAGGCAGCCAATCAATGTTTCTCACATCAATGTTTCCCTCTCTCTCCCTTTAAAATCAATAAAAACGTATTTAAAAAGAAAAGAAGAAGCGGAGAGGACGCACAGAGAAGACAGGTGAAGCAGAGGCAGGGGCTGGCGTGACAAAGCTGCAGGCCAGGGACACCTGGGGCCGGAGGAGCTGGGGAGAGAGGCCAGGACGGATTCCTCCCGAGAAACATCCGGGAGCAGGACCCTGAGAACATGCTGATCTCGGACCTCCAGCCTCCAGAGCTGAGAGGGAATACGTTTCGGTGTTTTAAGCCATCGGGTTCGGGCGCCTTTGTTCCAGCGGCCCTGGGAGACGAATTCGCCCTCGGCAGCCTTTGCATCTGCACCGTGTGCATGTAGATTGCTGCCTACGCTACCGTGACCCCCAGGAGGTGAACATTCTCCAAGGACAGAAGCCAAACAGCAGACACCAGACCGGAAAGGGGACTCGCACTGAGCAGGGACCCCCACCCTCGGAGGATGACACAGGCAGTGTCTCCCCGACAGAGAAACTGCAGCCTCGGGAGGCGCCCCACCAGGTGAGTCACGGCTCACAGACACTGTCAGACAGCCCGAATCTGTTGTATTTTGCGGCTGTTTTAACGGCTCACGTGGGTAGGTTCTACACAAACCATTCTCTCCCCAGCTCCTAAAAGGCTCTGTTTATGAAACGCGTGTGAAAGATGCCAACGCAGCATTAACAAAAGCAGAGAGACCACGTCGGAGTCTCCTTGGATGAAGACCAAATCGGAGCATTTCCCAAGGACTGTCTTGGGCTTTCAATGAATTGGCTTAATGTCGCTCACAGGCGAACATAAGGCTGGGGTTCCCACCGCTTTTGTGGGGCTCCGCCAAGCCCCTGGGCACCCCCCTCGGCCCACCTGGAATCTCGGTGTGCACGGCTGGCACACGGGGTCTTCAGAACCACGACAGGGCACAGCGTGCCATCCCAGCCCTTCCTGGGGGCGGGGGGGGGGGGGGTGTGCTGGGGACAGAAAGCGGCAGAACGGGGGAATAATGAAATCCGTCCACATGGCTAACGTGTGACCCCAAAGCCATGGAGAGAAACGCTGCAGAGCCGGGCAGTCTAGGGTGCTTTGCAGGGCGGTCTAGGGTGCTTTTTCCCCCAGAGTCTAACACTGAGTCCTAACGCCCCTAGTGACAGGCCAAGGTGGCCATGGGCCCACCGTAGCAGGAGGTCGGGCCCCCAGAATGCTCTTCCCCATCCCCTCTCCCTTTGTCTCTTCTTGTCGAACTGCTCAGACCTTCTTCGGGCCCCTTTAAGTGCCTTGTCTGCAGTAGTGACTCAATACAAGGTTTTCAAATAAAATTAATTTCCACCCTCATTCAACCCTTAACATGCCTCTCTACCAATTCGGTTCCCCATGTCTGACTCCCAGGATAGACCAACATGCCCCTTCAGAGGTTAGCACTCCTTCCTTTCCTCCTCCAGGTGGGAGCCCCGAGGAAGTCCATCCCGTCCTCCCCGACGTTGTGCTGACGGCTCCGAGGCAGGGTCCTTGACCCCCGACTCCCGGGCGGTCTGACAAAGGTGGCTCTCTCTTTCCCACCTGTGTGAGCCGAACACAACTGCCAATCTGCTTGGCTAGTACCACCTCACTGAGGGCAGGAGCCCTTACCCTCACGAATTTCATACTACGGTCGACCTTAAGCAGTGCTAGGTGACCCTGAACTCCTGGAGCTGCATTATCCCAAGTCTTCTATCCGCCTAACCTATGCCTCAGGAAGAACACCTCGAAGAACAGCCCTACAACTAAAGTGATGCAATCAGTAAAAATGGTGGCTATGAAACGCTAGTGAGATTATAGGTAATTTTCTTTTTCAAAACTATACTTTTCTGTTTTCCAAATGTTTTGTAACTGGCACAATCAACTAACGTACAGTCACACGCCACATAATCGAGCTTCAGTCAACGCTGGGCCACATACAGGACGGGGTCCCATAGGCTGAAACATTCCCATCACCAGGGACATCGCTGCCACCGGAAGGCTGTACTGCACGGCCTTCTTCACGTGCTTGTGGTGACGCTGGTGTGAACACACCTACTGCGCTGCGGCCGTATAAAGCACAGCGCCTACAGCTATGTACAGTACGTGGTGCGGTGACAACGACTGTTACTGGTTTATGTATTTGCTACACGATACATTTTATCGTTATGTTAAAGTGGACTCTCTCTACTTACAATAAAACATGTTTGCTTATAAACCAGTGTGGGCTGTACACTTTATACGTCTCGTTTACTGTGTCTCCTGCTGGATTTAATCTTGCGGTTTTGTACAGAGCACGCCATGCAGGCGTGAAGCCTAGAGCGATAGGCTGGGCCATGCAGCCTGGTGTGCAGGAGGCTGCACCATGAGGTGTGTGAAGTGCACTCTGTGACGTTCGCACAACAGAATCGCCTGGCGACGCGTTGCTCAGGACGATCCCCGTGGGTAAGCAGCACGTGACTGTGCTCAGACAGGAAGGAAGGCAGGCGGGCTGGGGGGTCCAGGCTACTCATCTGGCTGAAGTCCCTTTCACTGCGTGTTTAAACGTGTCACCATAACTAGCCCTAGTAATTGTGTGTTTTCGGGTACAAACAAGAAAGACAAGAGAAGCACAAGGCCACATGGACTGGACATTCACACCAATAACGCTGCTCGGAAGTGAGAGTGCAGGCTGCATGGACTTCATCTTTTTCTACTTGAAGCACGTGAATCAATTTTTTCCCCACTGAAAATCCGTAAGCTTCCTTTCTGAACCACATGGCTCCTGTTTCAAGATCCCTGCACATCTACCACGTGTCCAAGTCTGCATGTATTCTTTAAAAGGAAGACATTCCATGATCTGGAATCATTAATCATCAAATGATAGTCTAGTGAACAAACAGAATCCCGAGGCCGAAGCCAGATGTGCACGTTGCCATCCACGAGGGGGAAATGGAGGCAATACTGAACGCAAATGCAAATGGTGAATGCGCACAGATGTGACGGCAGACAACGGATTAACTGACGAACTGATGTTAGGCAGCGCATGCGATATCATACCCACAGGGGGAGAGGGGACGGGTGTGGAGGCCCGGGGACAGGAGCCCTCACCTGGTCGCGTGACTGTGACAGCGGTCTGCCCGGCAGTGTCCTCTGCCCGTTTGTACCACAGGCCGCCCGGGCTGGGCAGCCACTCCTCCACGTGGCAGCTGTAGGTGCCGCTGTCCTGCACCGCCGCGTTCTGGAGGAAGAGCCGGAACACGCCCGGGGAAGGGCTCTCCAGGTGCAGCCGCCCCTTCAGGTTGTTCTTGGCCGCCTGCTCCCCGTAGTGGAAGGTGGCCTCTCGGCTCAGGCGGGCCACGGCCTCCCGCTCCGGGTGGTTGGGCTTCCACACGAACCACTCCACCACGAGCTGGGAGGCCGGGCTGGTGCGGTTCAGGACCACGCACTCCAGCTGCACCTGCCGCGTCTCCAGGACCGACAGGTTCCCCTGCACCTGGCTGAGCTTCAGGCGGCTGTCTGCAAAGGCGAGGGGGAGAGGTCAGCACCAGAAAGCAGCAAGCCGCCCGAACGCCCCCCTCCAAGCACAGGTGATGGGCGCCTTCCACACAGAAGACAGCACCCTCAGCTCGAGGAAGCGTGTCTCAGGCATGGCCCCCGCGTGTCCGAGTTCTCAATCATGTGCACAAGTGTCCGAGTTTCACAGAGCTCAATGTGACCGTGACAGCTGTCCCCCATTTATAACCTGCATCAGCTCTAGGGCTGAGCAGAGGACAAGCACATGCTCTTGTCCGAGACGCAGATGACTGTGCATCCCAGTGACAGTGGACCGAACGGCGCAGGGCTGAGGGCCGGTGGCTGGGAAAGGACAGGAAAGGGCATGGTGAGACCCCACCCAGGCAAGAGACTTCTATTTTACTTAAAAATATATATATATATTTTTTTACTGATTTCAGAGAGGAAGGGAGAAGGAGGGAGGGAGGGGGAGAGAGAGAGAGAGAGAGGAAGAGAGAGAGAGAGAGAGAGACAGCAACAATGAGGGAGAATCATTGATTGGCTGCCCCTTGCACACCTCCTACTAGAGATTGAGCCCACAACCCGGGCATGTGCCCTGACTGGGAATCAAACTTCGACCCTCTGGTTCACAGGTCGACGCTCAACCACTGAGCCACACCAGCCTGGCTAAGCAAGAGATTTTCAAAACTGGCCCCATGGAGGGACCATGCTGGGCTGTGAACCACGAAAGAGCTGCAGAGGAAACACAGCTTATAGGGTCTCGGGGTGGCCTTGAGCGTCACAGTTCTTACTCAAAAAACACCACACGGTTTCCTCTCAAGGTGGGACCACAACTGATCTGATAGTAGCAAAGAAATAAACTGACACCGAGGGACCAGGGGTTTGAAGAGTCAGCCCATCGGAAGGGTCACTAGATGCACAGCCTAACGGCCCCCGCGTCACCTCATCACAGGCCCCAAGGAGCCCGTGTGGACCCGAGGCATCACAAAGCTGTGACGCTGTGCATGCACCGAGGCCCCAGGGGGGGTCCCCTCCTGAGAGACACAGAGGGAGGGGAGGGCGTGCGACTTCACCTTTTACTTTTTACGCTTCAGAACTATCAGAATATTTCACAACACACACGATTACTTTTAAAAGGTCAAAAAATTAAAAACAGAAAAAATATTTTAAATAAGCAGTCTCCCCAAAACACTCACTCTCTCTCTCTGGTGTCTCTGGGTTGGAAGATTGTTTTCTTCTTTGTGCTTTTGTATTTTCCAAAAGCTCTACAGTGTATTCTTTCTCAACAGAAAATAAAAAAAAAGGGGGGGGGGGACTAGAAGCAGAAAAAAAAAGACAAAAAGAAAAACATCCAAACCAAAAAAATCTCAATGGAAAAGGGGGAATGGCATGCGCTGTCTTCATCAGCGTCCTGTGAGCTCTCTGTTCACAGTGTTAATATTCCCCGTACACGCGATTTCACTATGTTTTGACAAGAATCCGTACAGCCCTTCGCACTGCCCCTGTTCACCTGCTCCGTCTAGGCCTCAGGTGGGGAACTCCCGGGATAAATTTAGGATCTGGGAGTTCCCCACCTGAGGCCGAGACTCAGAGCAGGCGAACTGAGGCAGTGCGAAGGGCTGTACAGATTCTTGTCAAAACCCAGGATAAATTTAGGATCTGGCCTTGGCCGATTTGGCTGTGGATGGAGTGTGGGCCTGCGGACTGAAGGGTCCCGGGTTCGATTCCAGTCAAGGGCACATGCCTGGGTTGTGGGCTTAATCCCTGCAGATGGCAGCCAATCAATGATTCTCTTTTATCACTGATGTTTCCATCTCTCTCTCCCTCTCTCCCCTCTCTGAAATCAATAAAAATGTGTTTTTAAAAAAATTTAGGATCTGCAGGGAAAGTCTTGTTTTTGGCACAAAGAGAAAAGGGAAAGGGCGGATGGTGACTAAGAACGCTTGCAGGGTGTGCCGCGTGCTCTCCGCAGGGAGCCGGGTCAGAAAGGAAGAGAGACAGGAAGAACAGAAACCTGCAAGAGCCTCTGTGGGCCAAGAACCAATTCCAACTTCTGTTTCCAAAAGCCCCTGGGACTGTCCCGGGAGGCAGGACACAGGTCACGGGAAGTACCAGCCGGAGGCACTTGGCCCAGAGCTTCCTTCCTAGCGCAGCAGCAGAAGGGTTAGCATAGCATGTCCCTTGGGAGGAGGATGGCCGTTCTAGAAACAACAGCCTGAGGAACAGGAGGGCCAGCCACGTGTGGACTGGGAACCCGGCTCCCTGTGCCTTCTGAACAGCAGGTGCGAGCCTCAGCCGCCTGGGAGACAGGCCGTGGGAAGAGTGGTGCAGAGAACCAAGGACTTGTGCTCACGCAGGGAGCGTCCGGCCCAGAGGAGGAGACACGAGTATGTAAATAACGTGTATGTGACGCGTAATAACTGACTGTCCATGAATTTCCCTAAGTGTGAATAGGCTTACGTGCTCATCACTACCTGTCTATACACAGGTAAGTGAACAGGGATGGGAAAGGGGACACAGGGTGCCTAGAATGCTGTTTCAGTTAAAAAGAGCTAACCTGTCTGAGGAAGAATGAGATAAATGGATGCCTACGGTCAACGTGTTCCAGGCTATGAGGACAGTCAAAGGCCCTCGGGGGTTCAAGGAAAGTGACCATTCATTCCTTGTTCAAACAATATTTACTAAGGGGGCCAGGCCATGACCGAAGACACAAAGATACAGCCCTGACCTCAAAGTGCTTACCGTACGTACAGTGGGGGAGAAATGCAAGCACACACTTATGCTATGTTATGCTATGTGTTTTGTAAGAAACCCCTGGTGATGGGGGAGATATCAGGGAAGGCTTCCTGGAGGTGGTGCTGAGTGACATGTTGGGAATGGGGTGATGATAGGGGAGAACAGGACAGGGGCATGCCAGGGGAGATGGCAGCAGCAGAAAAGGCAGGGAGATGGGACTCCGGCTGCCCACACAGCACCCCACTGCCCTTCCGGAAGGACAGTGACAACCAATTGTAGGGCACACAGGGAGGAGGGTTGGAGAGGGAGCTCAGGGCCGCCTTATGTGAGAAGTTCTAGAGCAAGCATGTCAAACTCAGGGCCCATGGACCGCATGCAGCCCACAATGAATATTTTTGCGGCCCAGCCAATATATCGGTATGTAAGAAACATTTTAATAAAAATTTCGTAACTTAATTTTTACAATATCCTGTTATACATAATTATTAATAACGAACTACAACATTTGCTAATGATTGATTACTATGATCGTGTTGCATTCATTTCCCTTACCCGCCTTACACACAGGCACACCATTTCTCTCCACTAATACTAGCAGCGAATATTTTAGCAGCCGATGGCCACGTCATTAGTCTTGAACTGACCTATTTGGTGTGCGCAACAGGAAATATTTCGCTTTCGGAGAACAAGAAAAATAGGTTTATTTGTGTTACGCTTATTAATTTGTGCAGTTATTCAGTGTCTGGTAAGTTAATGTTCAAGAAAAAAATAATTTTTATTAAAATGTTCTATTATCTTATGTTAACGATGACGCGTTTATTTCAGCCCTTTGTATTCAGCATGTCTCTATTGAAATAAACCTACGTTTCTATGAAAACTGAAGCTTTTGTGTTTTTGCAACCCACCTAAACTTAAACCTTGTTTATTTGGCCTGTGTTAGCCTTTGAGTTTGACATGCTTGTTCTAGAGCTTCTTTAACAAGAAGAAGGGGAGACTGATGGGCACACTAGCTCCCTTCTCACACAGTCATGAGCCACTGAATGACGTGGATACACTCTGATAAAGTGTCCTCAGGTGATCTTGTCAGTGTGCGAACATCAGAGTGCGCTCACACACACCTACACAGTACAGCCTCCTACACACCTAGACTCTAGGGCAGTGATGGCGAACCAATGACACGCGTGTCAGAAGTGACACACGAACTCATTTTTTGGTTGATTTTTCTTTGTTAAATGGCATTTAAATATATAAAATAAATATCAAAAATGTAAGTCTTTGTTTTACTATGGTTGCAAATATCAAAAAATTTCTATATGTGACATGAAACCAGAGTTAAGTTAGGGCTTTTCAAAATGCTGACATGCCGAGCTCAAAAGGTTCGCCATCACAGCTCTAGGGTCTAGCCCAGGCTCCACGCCTGCACAGCATGTTTCTGTACTCAATATTGTAGGCAACTGTGAGGCAACGGTAAGTATTCGTGCATCTAAACAAAGAAAAGGTGCAGTAAAAATAAAAGACGAGCAAGGGTGCCCCTATATGGGGTGCGTGCCATGAATGGAGCCTGCGGGACCGGAAGCTGCTCTGGGTGAGTCAGTGAGGAGCGGGGCGGGACTGTGAAGGCCGCAGACGTACACACTGTCCCATAAGCCCTCCTCCTGCTTCCTCCCAACAGGGTCAGAAAGAACCTCAAGGCTGTCAGTGCTGCTCCTGGAGCAGGGACGTGGGCGGGAGAGGCTGGGAATATCGGGGAGAAACCGGCTGGGTAAGGTGTGGGTCACCCTAATAGAGACTGTCAGGAGGTAGTGCAGGTGGTGTGAGCACCAGTGGGAATAAGAAATCGGAAGCACTGAGCTGACAGGCTCCTCTGTCTGAAACAGGTGAGTGGGTGACGGGCTGGGATGTCACCTGTGCACTCAGAATTGAGGTGCTGTGAGCAAGAGGGAATCTATTGCCTACTGCTCCCGTCAGAGAGAAATCCTCCAGAGCCACACAGCCTTCCACTTCTCACAGGACTTCAGCTCCCTTATAATCTTATGGAACCACCGTCACAAAAGCGGTCCACTGTGGCTCACATGCCGTTATGCGGTGCATGACTTAATGGAAAGGGATGACCCAAACCTCTCTGGGGTTGTTCTAGAGCAGGGGTGGGGAGCCTTCTTTCTGCCAAGGGCCATTTGGGTATTTATAACATCATTCATGGGCCATACACAATTATCAACTTAAAAACCAGCCAGCTGTAGTTGGCCAAACATTTAATGAACTCACTCCTAATGCTTTGGCAGGGCCAGACCCAATGATTTCGAGGGTCTTCCACGGCCCGCGGGCCAATGTTCCCCACCTCTGCTCTAGGGGCAGATCTGAAACCTAAGAGGGAGATGATGGGGACAGGACATTCAACAAGGAGGGTCCCCTAAAGTGGAGCTGAGGCCTGGGGGGTGGTGAGCGCTCCCTCCCTGGAGGCATTCACAGAGGTCAGAGGCCACTGGTCAGGCTGCCCCACAGGTTTGGAGACAGGAAGCGCTCCCCCTGGGCTGGGACAGGCGGTAAAACAGCAGGTGAGCGAGCCAGGAAAATGCCTCCTAGGCAGGATCCCTGGGGTGCGAGCTGGCCCAGCCCACGATCCCGGGTGTGAGCTGCAAACCCCGAAAGAGAGCCGGGAGCTGCCAGAATCCTGCCTGGCCACCTCCTGCCAACCACAGCCGCACGTCTCCCTGGTGAGGATGCGTCCACACAGCACAGTCAAGGATGCTGAGTTTGCCATCGGCACCGGGACCCCTTGCAGGCAAAGTGGGCGGCCCGCCGTGCGCCAGGACGGTGGCCTGCGTGCCTGCACCCACCGCCAGTGCGGACCCAAGGCCCTGTGCAGGCCTCTCCACACTAAACCCACTGGCCTGGGTGGCTGCACCCCCTCTGCTCACCTGGCTGCTTCACAGTGACCTCTGTGCGCCCCGAAACCTCCTCCGCCAGCTTGTACCAAGCGAAGTTGGGGCTCAGCAGCCACTCCTCCACGTGGCAGTAGTAGCTGCCGCTGTCGCTGACCTCGGCTCTCTGGACGGTGAGGCTGAACAGGCCCCCGGACGCGTGCCTCTCGAACTGCAGCCTGGGCCGCAGGCCCTCCTCCTCGGCGTAGGTGCCGTACTCGAAGGCGGAGGTGTGCGTGGTCTTGAGGATGAGCTTGCCGTCGGCGTCCGAGGGCTTGTGGACGTACCAGAGCACCGCGAAGTGGGAGTTCTGGCTGGTCTGGGACTTGACGGAGCAGTTCAGCTGGATGGGCCTGTTCTCCACCAGCGTCAGGGTCCTCTTGGATTTGCTCACCTGCAGCTTGGTCACTGCGGAGCAAAGCGGGGAGGTCCAGCAGAGCTGTCACACGCCCCTGGACACGGCAGTCCAAGCCCCACCTCCAGGCTCCTCCTCCAAAGCATGGCTCCGTGAGAGGGACCCGCGAGGGGCTGACTTCACCTCACATCCCTCCCTCTGCCTCCTCCCTGCTGGATCCACACTCAGGCCCTCACCACCTCTCCCTGTCTCCTGCAAGCTGAGGTGCCCAGCGCTGTGCCCCCAAGAGCAGCTCGAAGGGCACATCTCAGTGGAGGACACACCTGGTAAATCAGGCCACACTCTGCACAAAGGGCTGCTGAACTCACACGCCTGCAGGCCTGCTGAGCCATCAGGGGCACCCCTCGCAGGGACACGAAAGAAATCCCACACCCCTTTCGCTTCCTCTTTTCTATGATCAAGCCCAGTCCCCTGCCTGATCCCTTCTTCAAACACAATCACCTCCGGGGCACACTGGGCCTAGGGCGGGGCTTACCAGTAAGCTCCCCTGCTCTGCAAACTCATTCATATTAGCTTGCCAGTCGACTTTCCAGGTCTGGTTCCTACAATACTTGAAACTAGTCCTTTCCATTGCTTTCCAACCCAGCTCACCCAATTGCATGCAAATGTATCTATGTTGGTGCACACGACACTCCCTGCATCATCTGGTCTTTGGCCAAAAACATTGGGTTGCTCAGTGTAGGGCAGAAGGCGCTTTAAAATGTATTATTAATTGGGGCCAGATTATTTTTGCAACTGTTAGTTTCTAAGGAAACCTCAATTGCTATAGTAACTGCATATGTTAAACCAGAACCCTATGACTAAACTTCAATTCGGTCACATGGTCCCTGAGGACAAGAATCCAAGGAACTGTTTCAAAGCATTTCCATTTTTATTTTCCTTCTCGTGTCAAAATATTGTGAAGTGCCCTAACTGGTTTGGCTCAGTGGGTAGAGCGTCAGCCTCCGGACTAAAGGGTTCCGGGTTTGATTCCGGTCAAGGGCACGTGCCTGGGTTGCGGCCTTAATCCCCATGCAGGAGGCAGCCAATCAATGACTCTCTCTCATCATTGATGTTTCTATCTCTCTCTCCCTCTCCCTTCCTCCCTGAAATCAATAAAGATACATATATTTTAAAAAAATTATAAAAAAATATATTGTGAAGTGCCGAAAAGCCTGAAAGAGGGGCGTTTTGGAGACGTGGTGCACACCTGGCAGGTGGGCGAGGCGTCAGCTCCTCCTCCAGGCTCTGAAGTTCCTCCCACATCCCAAGGTCAGAAAGGACCTTTCCGGAAGCGCAGAGGAGCCTGCAGCCTCCGTGACTAATGAGGCAGCTCTCGCGCATCCTGCCGGCGCTGCCCTGGCCCTGTGCGGCCCGTCTGTGTCACCTGCCTCCAGAGTTAGGGGAGCCCAGCCCCCGAGGTCTGCAGGTATTTCTTCTGCAAGATCAGAACCAGCCTGGTACCTACCTCATGTCTTAGGAGTGTGTGCAGATTACTCAGCAATGGTCTCTAGAAAGAGATGAGCACAGAGCCTGGTATGGAACACACACCATCCATTTCTCTATGCCCGTTTCTTGTCGGTCACTGGGCTCAGTCCCATGTTCAAAGCACAGCGTTCGATTGAGAACTGTCAATTGTAAGTGACACACATCCTACGAAAACTGCCCATGGACCAGGAGCATCAGCGTCACCGGGCAGCTGGTTAGAAATGCAGACTGGCAGGCCCCGAATCAAGACCCCCAGGTGGCTCACACACTTTAAAGCCCGAGGACCTGAGGACATGGCAGTGGAGTGAGTGGGCTCAGAGAGGCTGAGGACTGAGGCTTGGTTAGCCCCACGGTGAACCAGCAGGACAGGCAGAGGGAGCCCAGAGAGGCTCAGCGAGGCCCCTCCTGCGGGCACACACTCGGCTCATCACTTAGCAGAATGCCCTCGAGGTCCATCCACGCTGTCGCCAATGGCAAGATCTCGTTCTTTTTTATGACTGAGTCATATTCCATTATGTACAGGTACCACATCTTCTCTCATCCATTCATCTATCAATGACACTTAGGCTGCTTTCATATCTTGGCTATTGTAAATAATGATGCAATGAACACAGGGGTAGAAATCAGTGTTTTCGTTTTCTTTGGATACATACCCAGAAATGGATCGAATGCTGGATCGAATGGCAGCTCTATTTTTAACTTTTTTGTGGAATCTCCACAGTTTTCCATGGTGACTGCGCTAACTTACAATCCCACGACAGTGTGCGAGAGTTCCCTTTTCTCCACAGCCTCCCCAACACTTGTTATTTATTGACATAGTTAATTTTCTGAAGGCCTTCTCGTCCCTACTAAATTATAAGCATCTGAAGGGCAAAGACTATGACCCAATCATCTGCTACTCAATTTAATAAACGGATGACTGAATAAATATGTAAGTAATCTTTTCTTGGAGGTATGGGAATGTAAAGGAAAGGGACAAGAGGGAGAGACTATGACAGGAGGGAGAGACCTTTTCAAAAAGTATGTGACATCAGAGCTGGGCCCTGAAAAACAAGTGAGTAGGTCCCTGGGCAGAGGAGGAGCGTGCCAGGGCATCCCCGAGAGAGCGGACGGTGAGCCAAGGTGAGACCCCTGTGCACCGTGTTCAGGGCACAGCACGTGGCCACGTGCAGAGGAAGTTAGAAAGGAAGCATGCGGGCTGCGAGGAGCCTGGAGCGTGTCCCAGATTCTGACCTCCTGTGGCTTTCAGGGTGCAGCCCCTGGACCTGCAGCGCCATTGTCCCCTGGGGACTGGCTGAGAGCACAGAACCACCCACACCACAGGTGGGGCTCCGGACCCGCGCTGTCACCAGCCCTCTGGGTGGTTCCGACGCACACTAAGTTTGAGAACCAGGGTATGATGGTGAGGCGGCCGCGGGGAACTCTGGACACAGCAGTGGGAGCAGGAGCCACAGGCAGTGGGGGAAGGGAGGTGGGCAGTGAGGGAGTGAGGGAGAGAAGGAAGACTGTTCTGTGTTACAGGTCTGTAACGTCGTCAGTGATGTTAGGGATGGAGGGGACCGGTGGGTGGCTGGACAGCAGAGGTGTTTCCAACTGAGGACAGCAAGTCCGCCAAGAGCTGGGAGACAATGAAGGGACAGCTACTGGGGGAGCGTGTGTGTGCCCCACCCACTTGGGGAAGGAGGTGGCAAAGGCCCGTGCCAGTCTAGCAGTTCCCACACTTAGAGTCCACATCCAGAGGCTGCCCTCAGCCCCTTCTCTTCTTTCTCACCGCGGTCATGCCCTGTTTAAGGCCCCAATCATCTCTTTTTCAGACCTTACACTTGCCCTGCATACCAGCGTCCCTGCCTCCAGCCCAGCCTCCGAGGGGAGAGCTTCTGAAGCTGCCAACCGCCAACCGGGGCCTGTCCCTTCCAGCTGAGCCCGTCTGCCGCAGGGTCATCACGGACACCTGCGGGCAGGGCAGCCTTTGGTCAGCAGGGATGCAATGGACAGGAGCCGGCGTAGATGTAAACCCGTATCTGGATGACCCCATGCAACTTGTCTCGTCCTCCTGTCCTGCGTGACTGTCAAATGACATTCATGTGGGTGAAACCAGTCTCTGAGCCTGGGACCCGCTTTCACTTTACCATCCACACCTGGTTTTGCGTAGTTTTAGTGTCTGTCAGTGGATGAAGGGAGGTTCCTCTCTGCTCTGTTCAGCACTGTAAGCTGCGCAGGATTTCGGAACCCCCGTCCGAGACGTGGGGACAGGCTAGCAGCACCTCTGCCCCGCTGCTGCCCCCTGACCCCCGCATCCCCCCGAGTGCTGGGCCTCCTCACTTGGCCGCCCCTGAACAAGGACAAGTTAAAGCCATTATTTTAACATTAGCTGCTTTTTTTAAAGACCCCTCCTTTATCCACAATTAGGGCATTGTAACAACTTTTAAAGGTTATGTGAGTTGAAATGTTACACCATGAATTTCATTGTAGAATAGTAAAGGGACTATTACACACTGTTAGTCAGAGAATACAATCTGAGTATGATGTAAAGTCCTAATTGCTCAGTTTAGAACATTTGTATTTAACAAACATATAATTCTATGTGAGCTGTATTGTAAGCACTTTCTAAATATTAACAATTTGGTTTGCACCAGTCCTATGAAGTAAATATTGTTATCCCCATTTTATAAAAACACTTGCTCACGGCCACACCACCGATAAGTGGTCGAGTGGGATTCAAGCCCAGGCTGGTCTGTCCTGGCTTTTAACCATCATGTATGGTGACCGTCTGTGTTTCCCAGTACAAAAGGGGCTCCCTGGCCCTTGTCAACTGCCTGGGATGAGCCCTCTCCCACCCCATGCTTCAGTCATATCAAAACATGCATGCTGCTTGTTCTTTATCCACACTCTGTGCGCCCACCTCCAGGGAAGCCCCTTCCCTCCTCAGGCCTAATGCCCACCCCCTAGGCCGGCTCCACTACCACCCCCGAAACTCCTCCTTTCCCAGGAGAGCGCACAAGGCAGGAACTGGGACACACCCATCTCTGCAGCCCCAGCACCCAGCAGGGAGACTGGCATAGTAGGTGCTCAAACCTGCTTGCGGAAGGCACTGAGAGGGAGGAGCAAGGAGGCCATAACAAGCCTAACAACAATGTGGCTCAGGGATTGAATGTTGACCTATGAACCAGGAGATCACAGTTCGATTCCCGGTCAGGACACATGCCCAGGTTGCGGGCTCAATCCCCAGTAGGGGGCGTGCAGGCGGCAGCTGATCAATGATTCTCTCTCATCACTGATGTTTCTATCTCTTTCTCTCCCTTTCCCTTCCTCTCTGAAATCAATAAAAATATTTTTTTTAAAAAAGGAGAAAGTAACAAAAGTCTAGAAGTGGAAACAGCTAATTAGGAGTAACCCAGACATGCCCTGTCTGCAGACAGAGCAGGACCCCAGCTCAGTGACTCCAAACAGATGCACCTGGAGTCGCCATGACAATGAGGCCCGTGGCGCCTTCAGGGCTCTCGCCCTCATGCTCACTCCACCTCTGAGCACCCAGCGGGCAGCAGCCACATGCACACGGGGTAGGAGAACCGCAGGTTCTCCCAAAAGAAAGCAGGGGTAATCCCTCTGAGGGATGAGGCAGCCTGCCATCTACCATGTGACAAGGAGAGCCACTGTCATGTGCCCTGGACTCACAGACGTCGAAGAAAAAGCCCCCAGCATCCCCAGTCTGCTAGGTCAGCAGTAAGAAATGCAGAAAACAGACTTGGCAGCATCCCGAACGTATTAAATATTCATCCTGACCGCCCATCAGTAAAATCCCAGCAGAATACACCCTGACAAGTGGGCCTTCCAGACCGGAGGCTGTACTCCGGGAGGCTTGGTTATTGCTTTGTCGATTTTAATGTGCAGTATTTAATAGCCAGACCCAGGCATGGTCGTAAACATTTGGAAAATGAATGCTGACATTTCCTTTATTGCTTCTGTATTTAGGAATGTGCAATTGGGGGGATGGGGGGGAGCTGATGCTAAAGAAAATCAGAAGGAAGCAAAGCAATGCTTCAAAATTAAAAGAGAACAGGATTGACTAAGAACTAAGAATCGAGTATGTTGAACGGCTTCAAGTCCTGCCTTAAATGCCCCTTGGGGTCACACTCTGCTGTCCATGGGAGTGAGGCTGAGCACAACCCACAACAGAATGGGAGCGAGGCATTCCTGGAAGATTTCCTGGGGGATGTGCGTTCCGAACCAGAAGCACGCCTGCAGAATGGTCAATAACAGACCCACAACAAATGGAGGGGGGTGCCATCCAGCCAGAGATCGTGATGAATCAGGTCCCTGTGATGCAGCCAGCTCAGCAGGTGGCTCTGGCCAGGGCTAGCCTGGGCACAGACCACAGGGAGCCTTCGTGGGAGCGGATGGTGTCAGCAGTGGAAGGCGGATAAATGGACCATTGGGCCAACGGTCCCTCGGTTCCTACTTAATTCTTTTGGAATGAGAATATGCAACAAAATATTCTGAAAGAGGGGGGTGGGCAGGCAGTGGGGGACCTTCCTATGGAAGACATCAGACTAGGGATAAGGATCCATGTTTTGAGGGGGAAGGTATAAAGGGAGAGCAGAAAGAAGGGAAGCCAGCACTGGCTCTGAGCTCCGGTGTGCCCAAGTCTTAGAGCCATCTTGTGGCAGAAATTAGAAGAAACAGAGGGAGGCACAAATTAAACTCCTACACCGACACCATTGGCAAGCTGCGCCTCCTGCGCCTCAAGGAACCTCTATGGGTACCCTGTGACCTCAACTTAAAAAAGCAAATTTAAATGTTTGTGAAAGGAGATCAGGAAATTAGGGGTGGTAAACCAGACAGAATAGAAATTGAAGAAAAGTACATGGTACCCAAAAAGGTTCCTGAGAAGATTAAAAAAAAGATGTCTACTCTAGAAAATACCTTAATTCTGTATAATAAAATTAAGAGCTTGGACCTAGCCAGTTTGGCTCAGTGGATAGAGCATTGGCCCCCAGACTGAAGGGTCCCAGGTCCGATTCCGGTCAAGGGCACTGGGCCCCGGACTGAAGGGGCCTTAGTTGCAGGCTCCATCCCCTACCCTGGTTGGTGCGTATGTGGGAGGCAACCAATTGATGCTTCTCTCCCTCTGTCTCTCCCCATCCCTTCCACTCTCTCTAAAACATCAATGGAAAAAATATCCATGGGTGAGGACTAACAAAAAAAAATAAGAGCTTGGACTCTGGAGCCAGACTGCCCGTCTGGATGTGAATCTTGCCTCTGACTGCGGATCACTGGGTAACTTAATCAACCCCTGTGTCAGTGTCCACATCTACAAAGTGGGGGAAACAGCACCCCTCATGGCATTGCATGGGTAAGTGAGGTTTTACAGGTAAGGACTTCGGGATGGCGATGGCACATAAGAAATGCAGAGGAAGTGCTAGCTGCTATTGTTGGACCAGGCCTAGGACTCCGCACGTCAGGCATCTATAGAAAGTGCCTTCTGTAAATGAGACCGCTACAGGACGCAGAGGAGTAATTTCTGGTGACACAGCCTTAAGGTCAAAGTCCCCTTTTATACCAACTGCTTTTTACTCAGGCACACCTGCGTTCCCGTCCCACCTTCCCACTCACTATTTCTTGGACTTCAGCAAGCCTCCCTGAGCCTCAGTTACTCCCTTATAACTGGGAAAGCAACAGCCCTGGCCAGCGTGGCTTGGTGGTTGAGCATCAACCTATGAACCAGGAGGTCACAGTTCGATTCCTGGTCAGGGCACATGCCTGGGTTGCAGGCTCCATCCCCGGTAGGGGGCATGCAGGAGGCAGCTGATCAATGATTCTCTCTCTCCCCCCGTGTTCCTCTCTGAAATCAATAAAAAATATATTAAAATATAAATAAATGGAAAATCAGTGCCTTCCTCCCTGGGTGCAGTGAAGATGAAGGAGGTTATAGTCACCACGTGTCTACATGGTCTCGGGCGCAGTCAGCCTCTGTACTTTTCCACTTCTGTGTCCCCCAAATAAGAGCTCCAGGGCCAACCAGAGTGTGGGGGGGGGGGGGCAGGGAGGAGCAAACACAAACACGAGGCTCCCTGGAACATATTAAGTGCTAAGTGCATCAATATTTCATAAAGGGGAGACAGTAACACTTAGGGGATGCGCTCTCCCGGTGCCTCAGCCACTCCCGGGAGTGTGCGGACGGGGCGCCGACTCGCTCCCCGCAGCCTCCCCAGGGCCCCGAGAGGCATAACTGGGCACCTCTGGGCACGGGCCTCACCACACACAGCCCAGCACGATGACACTGCACACTTTACAGCGAGAACACAAATGACTCAACCTAAGCCACACCCGACACAGTCCTCGGAGCAGATCCTCAGCTTCCAGCCACTTCCCAGGAGGCACTGAAAAGGTACCATGGAAAGTGGAGGTATCTGGGCATCAGAGACCCGGGCTCCAAGCTCAGTTCCAATGCCAGGCTCCCACATACCAGCCTGGCCTGCCCCCCTCGAGGCTCCTCACACCTGGCGCCTCGGTTTCCTCCGGGGGAAACCATCCTGGGGAAACAAACATCACGCTTTCACTGGTGGATGGAATGAAAAGAAAACAGAAGTACTGAGCACACAGCCTGGCGCCCATTTTTGTCCCTTATCTCCTTTAGTAACACCATCAATTGATCAGAATCAAAATAACTTGAACCTTCAATAAATTAATTCCTTATTCTTCCCTTATGAGCTCCAGCCTCAGATTCCCAGGAGCAACAGAAAGCAGCAAATATTAGAGATTTGTGCAAAAAGGCAGCGTCAGGCAAGGTCTGGGGTTGGTGATTCCCTGCCTTTGAGGGCGGCAGAACCATGTGCCTGCGCTACAGCTCACACGCCCGCCCCGGGGGCCAGGAGACCATACGAGAGGCAATTACTATCTCGAAGTCACTCAGTAAGGCAGGCGAGTGCGTCCCCGAGCACTTCCCACACAAGGGCTCACAGGAAATGGGTCTCTGCTTCGCCCTCCATTAACCTGAAAACCCACTTAAGCAGAACAGCCTCTTCCCCGAGCATCCTGTCATCCAGGTTTAGGCTCTAATTGGCCAAGGATCGGCCCCTTTGTTTATACGACTCATTTGTTCCAAACTCGCCGACACAACAGACTCCTTACGGGGTTAGGAGAGGTGAAGGGTAAACTCAGACATTGCCCTCTGTAACCCCGCACTGCTGCAAACAACACTGTGACCATCTGAAATGGCCCAGCAGGGCGGGTTTGGACACTGACCACGGCCGTGAGCGGAAAGAAAAATCCTTTCTGCAAGATGTTCAACCCTTCTTTGCAAAGTGGGTGGGTCAGAACGTCAGAATAAAGTCTTTGCAAAGTCACCTGCCATCCACCCCCACCGTCCGCTGCATGGGTGGGTGCCCGACCTCACCTGTTCAGGGCCCAGCTCAGAGGGAAACAGGACCATGGCCTGGGCTCCACCCTCATCCAGCTTCCAACATAGCGGCAGACCAGACAGACTCCGAGGAAACCATGAGAGTGGCATGCACTTAACCGCTCCCGTGTTAGGGGAAGGGCTTGATGAAGGTGAGAGTATTCACAGGACCCCCCACCCCCGACTAGGCTCCCCAAATTTGTGCGTCTTCACCACCTACTGAGAGAGACTCAGCCCCATGGAAGAATGAAGCTCGAACTCAGCACAAGCAGACAGGCCTGGGGTCAGGAAACCAGCAGGAGAAGGGCAGGCAAGGGTGCAAATCCTGGCTCCACCCCCCACCAGCTATGCGGCCCTGTGCTGGGCAACCTTTCCTGGGGCAGCCGGGATATCTGGTAAAATAACCAGCCTAAGCACCTAGCACAGAGCAGATGCTCAGGAGGGTCCCCCTTCCCTCCCCAACTCGGGGTCCCTGGTCTGCAAACAGGGGTGGGTACCACGTTCACACCGCTGTGGCAAGGATACAGGAGATGACATGAGACAGAGCTTCTAGCAAAACAGTCGGCCTGGACACTTTCACCAACACCAGTGTCTCAACACACAGGTGTCTGGCCGGGACGCAGCTCTAGAGTAAAGGGATGTAAATAGACGTGACAACTAAAAGGGATGCGTGGTCCCGGCTGGACCTGGTTAGGAGTTGGGAAAGTGTCAGTGACGTCCTGTAATCACGTGTCCTTGTTCTTAGGAGGTTCACACTCAAGTATTTAGGAGGAAGCGTCCTGATGGCACCAACTTACCCTCAAGTGGTTCAACAACAACAAAATACCCACCGAGGGAGAAGACAAACATGGTAAGACTAACAACTGGCCAAGAGAAGGGGATTCGTTCTTTCAACTTCCTACGGATTTGAAATTTCTCAACATCAAAAGTTGGTAAGTCAAAGCGGCCACACGGCGGGCTCAACGCACACATTTTGTTCCCTCCCGCGTCTCACCCAGCGTGAGCTCGGCCGTGCCCCTACCTGGCTGCAGCACCCTGATCTCCAGCAGGTTGGAGGTCCGCTCGGCCAGCCGCGTCCAGGAGTTGTTGTAGTTCTGCCGCCACAGCTCCGCCACACACTGGTACTTGCCCGCCTCCGTGTCGCTGGCTCGGCTGATGCTCAGGCGGACGTTGTTGCTGGACTCCACCTTCTCAATGGCCGTTCGGGTGCGGAAGCTGGAGGACCTGTCCCCCCACTGGACCCCTCCGTCCCGGGTGAAGGTCACCAGGTCGTGGAACTCGACGGTGCCCACTGGCTGGAACCGCCAGGTGACTGACACAGGGACCCGGGCCCGGTAATGGGGTTTGATGATGCACTGCAGGTCGAAGGAGTCGCTGTAGGTCACCCCCGGCGTGCGGGAGATGGCTGTGACCGCGAAGCCTGTTTCTGGAGAAAGAACAGACAGGCGCAAGCCAGGAGTCACTTGGTTCTCTCAGGGCGGGGGTGACGCGGCGATGGGGGTCCGGGCAAAAGCTAGCAGGGCAGAGCAAAGGCTCTCGGGTCTGTTTTGATGCCAGGCCAGGATTACGTTAGCTATCACGTGGAGGCACAGACTCACAGCTCATAAGACCCCACAGAGAGAGATCGGGCAGCCCCCTTGAGCAGTATTACTGATCCCTGCTGACAATGGCCTCTCGATGACCATTCGTGCTCGGAAGCTGGAGGACCTACCTGGATTTGCAGTCCATCAGCCCCCACTGCAGGGCCGTTCCTAAAAATCTTGGGATTCCATGCTAACGCAGGAGAAAAAAGCCCCAAAGCTATTCATGTGCTGTCGTTTACTTTAGGCTGAAAAGGTGACCTTACTCCAGGGAACCCTCCTGTTTTCTTCTGTGCCACACCCTTGGGCCACTATGATTATGGCTTTAGGCAGAAGTGCCCCAGGTGTGGCGAGCAGGTGAGCAGAGCCAGGCTCCTGGGGTCCCAGGTCAGAACCTCTTGGTGACCCCCGGCTGTGGGAACCACCAGACACATGTTAATCTTTGCATGAACCCATTTTACAGATAGGGAAGTAGAGGCAGAGAGAAGTTAAGTAACTTGCTCAATGCCACACAGCTAGCTAGGAAGTGTTAGAATCAGGGATAGCCTGGAACCGTAAAATTACTTCTAGAGGAACCACCCTGACTAACCAGCCCTACTCCTTGATACTCCTAACCTCACAGGACGGGAAAAGCTACCACTGTTGGACGCCCGGAGCTTTCCTCACAGGTTCCATGTCCACAGGTGCCCACGGTGCTCAGCATAGGCATGGGACTGAGCTCATCAGAAAACTCAACCTCTGGATGAAGCTTCTAGAGACAGAAATCAGAGCTGTATGGGGACTGCAGAAGGCAGGCCAATCTCTGGGATAAAGCTTTTAGAAAGTAAATGGCATTCTAACCTGGGGATTAGAATGGGGGTGGCATGGAATGGAGGACTCTGTGGGGAGCAAACCCTCTCAGGGCTGCGTCTTTACCGCGGCGTGTTCAGGAGCACCAGCAGCCCCGCCCGGGGGGAAGGGGCAACACGGCCTCAGGGAGTGGGACCAAGTCTCCAGGACAAGTGACGGCAGAGTCTCCTGATGACAGCAGAGCTACCTTCCCAGCAAAGCAATGCCCCACACGGATCCGATGAGGCAGATACGTGTTGGCGGAAGCCTCTTTAAGGACCCCATGAGGAGTCCATCTAATCTTCTTTGGTTTTAGCAAACCTCAAGGTATCTTTTAATTTCATGCTAATGAGGAAATCGCTTTCTTAAGGAGGGGCCTCAGAGCACAGGCTTTGGAAAAAATTAGATAGATGGCTGGTTTCCTAGGTTCAGGCTGTGGGTCTGGCATTTAAAAGCTACAGCCCTGAGCAAATTAGTTAACCTGCCTCACTCAGTCTCCTTGTAAAATGAAAGTGTCTACCTCCCGGCCAGTTGCTCAGACTCAGCCCGGAGCACAGTACAGCCCAGAAGAGACCTAAGCCAAGGCTCGCCATCCTGTCTGTCCACACTCAGAATCAAGGTGATTCCCTGCCCTTGTCCGCCCTGCTCTGAACCTTTCAGGAGGGCTGGGCACTGGACAGCACACAAGGGGCGGGGGAGAGCCTGGGGGCAGAAGAGCAGCTTCGTGGCTGTGCGCCTGCTCTTCAGCAGGTTGAAGGTGGCATATCCTCTACCCGGGGCCACCATGTCCTGCTGAGTGGCCTCGGTCCTCTGGCCAGAATTCTTACAGCTTCACTCCCGCCACCCAGACCCACAAGTGGTTAAAGTCACCGGCCCCAGGGCCCCACCATGCATCACTGGTCCCTTCAGCCCTGCCCATACTTCCATATCGTGTTCCTTCCATTACATCCTTTGAAGGTGCCCTCTGTTTCCTGGCAGGACTGACCGATACAGGTCAGGGGAGGGTTCCTGACCCGGGGGCAGTCACCCCAGCGACCCTGCAGAAGGACTCCCAGACATTCACTTACCGAGAGCCGTGATGGAGACAGGGGTGCTGGCCCAGCGCTCCCCCACGACCTGCCACTCGCCGTCCACGGCCCGCACCCACTCGGTCACATGGCACTCGTACTGGCCCTCGTCCTCCTTCCTGCTGTGGAAGATGCCCAGGCTGAAGGAGTTGGGCTGCACCTGCTCCATCTGCACGCCCCCGAAGTTGCTGCGCTCCCAGTAGGACGCGCCCGGCTGCACGGTGCCGTCCCGGTCCAGCCACATGATGTTGCTGCGGCGGTTCAGCCTGTCCACGAGCTGCCAGATGACGGAGAAGCGGCCCTGCGACCTGCCCGCCGTGCGGACGCTGCAGGAGAAGCGCAGGTGCTCGCCCTCGAGGACCACGCTGGCATTGCTGGCCACCTCCACGGAGATGCTGCTCTCTGGGGACAGAGAGAGAGCACAGCTGGGGCCTCGGGTCTCCACCGCGCCCTCCCCGCAGACGAGAAAGGAGGATGGGTGCAGCGTCACCCGCTGCAGGCACGGTGGGCCTTGGAGGCTGAGAGCCCTGGCCCTGGCTGGTTCTGGGCATTGCTTCCAGGATTTGGGTCTGATCACCTAGGAGCCTGTGCCGTGTACAGAGGACCAGGGGAATGAGGGTCTAAGACCTGGGGCTGGATCAGAACCTAAGAAATATAACCGCCCGGCCGGCGTGCTCAGTGGTTGAGTGTCAATCCAGGAACCAAGAGGTTACTGGTTTGATTACTGGCCAGGACACATGCCCAGGTTGTGGGCCCGATCCCCAGTAGGGGTGCACGCAGGAGGCAGCCAACTGATGGTGTTTCTCACCGATGTTTCTGTCTCTCTATCCCTCTCTTTTCCCCTCTCTCTAAAAATCAATTAAAAACAAATACAACAAATGCCATTAAGCTTAGGGCATAAAACAGTGTATGGGGTTATTTGTTCAGAAGGGGTTCCAGGCTCTTCCATTTGGATTTCTATTAGGTTGAATGCTTTGGAAATTCCACTCCCACCCTTTGGTGCTGTGGTGGTCAAACAGAGGCTGACATCCAATCAATGAATCTCTCTCATTATTGATATTTCTATCTCCCTTCCCCTCTGAAAACAATAAAAATACATTTTTTTAAAAAGTTTGGGATAAGGAGTCCACTCCCTTCACTGCTTTGCTAACTCACTTAGCTATATGAACTCATTCAATCAAACTATTTAAACTCTACTATAGTCAGGGAGAGTGTTATCTCATACAGTTTTTTAAAGATTAAAAAGTAAGTGAGACCACGTATATAAATCACCTAAAACATACTAAGTTTTCAAAAACTGGTCACTGTGATCAGGATTGATTTTACTATCCCCCATAACTCTTGGTTTTTGTAAACATCATGGATATTCCAATCTACCTTAATCATGAGTATATTATTTTGTACAGTTATCTATATTGAGTTCAAAAAGCCATAATAAGTATAAAAGAACACAAAATACCATAACTAATTTGGTTCCAATTTTCTGGGCACGCCCACATTTTTAAATCAATCAACAATTTTCAATCACTCAATACAATCAAGTCCCAGATTAAGAGGCACACCCAGTGGGAAACACACCCGTACCCAGGACCATGCATTTGAATCAATCCTTGCTCCCTGGATTCCCCCACAGGCAGAAATAGGTGCAGGTGAGCGCAGAACCCCTGCGTGGACTCTGGTTAAGGTGAGTAGACCTGCTCCTCAGTCTGGGTCGGCTTGTTTTACGTGAAAAAAATAAAACAAAAACAGGTCTGCACAAGGGGACTAGGAATGCTCCCAGGAGCCATCCCAACAGACTCGGGGAGATGATAAGACTCCAGATGAGCCCGCATCCACAGCACTGGTGGCTAAAAGCAAGGGTGTGGAGGCAGGCCGCCTGGGCCCAATTCTGCAATCTTGGGTCCTTACCTAATCCCACCCAAGCTTCGAAATCTCATGTGCGAAACGGAGATACTAACAGTTCCTACTTCTCAGGGTCACGACACTGAGTGTTAGATGAGGTCGTTGCTTTTCATCTCGTCATTAATAACAACAAGATTCCTCTTTGGATTAAAGACTCATCCCCAGTGTTATCGATTCCGAGTGAGGACAACTTCAGCATGCAGGGGGAAAAATCCCTCTGCGGGCCTTCATCAGAAGAACGACTTGCAGGGTGTCACCCTCGTCCCCTACTGTCACCCCAATGGACTCTCGTGTAAGCCTGGCTTGTATTGTGAGGGCTGCTGGGGGTGCGTTGTTATTCTAGCAAGCCTGGAAAACTGCACAATTAGAACATGGGGCTGTGAGAAACCACACCATTCCAGCAGCCCAGGCAAAGACAAATACAGACACTGCCCGGTTAGACTATTCACCGGTGTTGTTGGGTCTGAGAAAAGGCAGCTGACAATTTAAAACACTCTGGATCGAGTGCCAACCTGGACAGGACTCATGAGAATCCGAGGGCACGTCACAAATGAACTGTCAAACCAGGAGGTTGGTGGTATAGCACAGGCTAAGCACAGAGCAGTGGACATGGGGTTAGAAGCAGAGATTTCTACTGCAGCGCAAGCTCAACCTCTGACGGAACTGGCTCAGCCACGGCTCTGGGTGGTGCTCTGGCTTCTTCCTTCATAGGACGGATATGATATTGGCCTCTACGGGGACTTGAGGGGGAGAGCAGGGAAGATGATAGATGCAGAAGCACTTTGAGGCTCTTGGGAGGAAAAGCGCCATTAAAGTCCAAGGTATTACCATCATTACCGACGTGATCGTTTGCTTTGGTAGACTTACCCAAGTGGCCTTGGGGCAGGATCTGGTGGTTCTGGGGGACTTTAACTACCCAGTCATCTGCTGGAAAAGCAATACAGCAGGCCACAGATCATCAAACACGTTCTTGGAAGGGGATGGGGGGAAATCTCTTAGCACAAAAGATATAGGAAGCAAACAGCGTGGCTGCCCTTCACTGGATCCTTACGACACAACAAGGAATTAGTTGCAGATTTAAAAGCAGAGAGTCCGTGCATGGTTAAAGCAAACACTGACCGACAGGAAAATAATAAGAGAGTGGGCATTCGATTCCACAGCTTCAATCCTACAAATACTCCGCAAGCACCTACCCTATGCAAAGCACCATGCTAGGCATTGCAGGGGGGAGGGGGGGAGTCTAGTAACAGAAGAATTTCAAGATAATTAGGTGTGTGCGTGTGGCTTTTTAAAAATAAGCATGAAAAGAAAGTAATCCTGTTGGTGAGAAAAGGAGAAAGAGTGGGAGGACGCTTGTGTGGTCTTTTTCCTTCAGACTTGAAGATCAAGAGCTATATTACAAACGTTGTAAAAATGAAAAGGAAGCCAGGGTAAGGGTGAGAGAAAGAACAGTTTGAACAGCTGAGAAAGGGTTAACGGTTAGTTTAAAAACTTCCCCATCTTGTTTAAACTCTGAGCATTCTAAGTTTTTTCATTCTCTTTTTACTAAAAATAGAACCATGAGAGAAATGAGATATTAATGAGAACATCCTGAGACTATGGATGACTAAACACAGGCAAACACAGGTAGGCAGTCAGTCCCCAGCCACAACCGTGACCCACCCAGACAACGCCCAGTGCCCAGGGGGGCAGGGAGCCCACCTGAGCAGCCTTGGACATCAGATTTAAAAGTCTATGCCCTGGGAAAATGTGAGAGATCCCAGCCACCGACTTTTAAAAAACACAATTTCCCCAGGGAAGGGAAAATGAGGGAAATGCCAACCCCTCCACCCCCCAAACCCAGAGGGCAACTCCTTCTTAACAATGAGCTTTATGATTTTAAATCCTCCCTCTGAAGGAAGATGTCAAGATAGGCATCTCCCACTCCTCCTGGGACTGAATTCCCACTTGGGAGCAAACAGCTCTCCTGAATTCCTGGTTTCCCTCCCAGCTGAGCTGCTATCCATGGGGTCTGCGATGCCCCCTCCAGGTGCAAACACAGCCCTGAGCTCGCCTACCTGGGGGGTTGCCAAGTGGGCAGGGGAGCTAGAGCAGGGGAGCAGTGAACTGGCCTTCCCTGTCAGCTTGAACCCTAGAGCCCCCTCTGTCCCCCCTTCCTTCCCCTCCAGCGCCGTCTTCTCTCCCCTGACCTCTCAGTGATGCAGCTACTGGACCAGACCAGGGGGAGGAGGGGAAGGAAGCAGGCGCCTCTCCACTTACTGATGGGGAGGACTATGATGGGGATGTTTTTGGGGCGCTTGCTGTCCTTGTCGATGAACTCCCCGGTGACGGTTTTCTCGCGCTCGGTCACACGGCAGTTGTATTTCCCGCTGTCGTCCTGGCGGAGGTGGAAGATCTTCAGCACAAAGACACCGTCGCTCTCTTTGGCCACTTTGAGCTGTCCCCGGGCCTCCCGGTGGGCGAACTCGCTGTTGAGGACGGGCACGGCGTTCGGCCCCATGCTGGCGATGAGCGAGCTGTTGAAGGCCCAGGAGACGGCGAAGTAGCGGTCGGGAATGTTCTGCGCCTCCAGGATGCAGCGGAACTCGGCCGGCTCCCCCGTGGTGTACAGGCGCTTCTCGGTTTCCAGCCGCACCATGAACTCTTTGTCTGAGGAAACAAATCGCAACGCGGCACAACTGGGTGAGTGAGGGCCCAGGCCACCCAGACGCATGGCACAGTCCCACCCATGCCCACTTCCCAGGCTCACTCCAGGGAAGGCACCACCGCACCCAGGGAATGAGAAAGTGCTGGAAGGTCACAGAGGACACTTGAGGTAGCCAGACCCAGACGGTCTGAAGGCCTGTTATTCCAGTCGAGACCGCTGGGCTCTGTCTACAGCTTATACCGCCCTGGATCCGACCCCCGAAAGTCAGTAAGGAATTCTGAATTACCACCCACCTGGCAGAGCACCAAGGTCCAGCCTTGACCTCTACCCCGGAACTCCACTAGCCACATGACTACACATATTTTCAGCAGATGCAGTGGGACTTACCCCACAGGGGTTAGTGAGACAAAGTTATATACTGGCCTAGGTGCTGAATCCCCAACCCCAATAACTCAAATGTTAATATACTGAAATACAGTCTTCACCCCCATGTGAATACCGGAAATAAGTCACAAAACTTCACAGGAAAAAAGAAAACTAATGGCTTTTCACTAGTCACCACCTGTCAATTCTTTAGAAAGGTGTCACCAAAAGTACCGATTTACACCGAAAGCCAGAACACCTCTGAAACGGCCAACGAACCCAAGCCCCCTTCTCAGAGCTGGGTGTCTGATCCGGCATGGGGGTCGCGTGATCCACGAAGAGCTCGTCACCACTAGCGTGTCCCAGCACCCGTGCAATGGTGTGTGGTGACTGTCACTTCCATGGGACAGTTCTCCTCTCTCATAGGCACCCATGGCCGGGGGTGGGGGTAAGACAAAGGAGACAAGTGCTGGAGAAAACATTCTGTTCTAGAAAACAGGACCAAAGAGCCTGGGGTAGGGGAGGCTATCGCTGTAACCAGCGCCCAGTCCCTCCTCCTCCAGCACGTGGGGCTTCAGGCTACTTCCCCGCTTTCCTCTCGTCACTTGTCACTTGTATCTGGAACTCAACATCTACTGATACTCAACTGCTCTCTGCTTGCCCAACATGCCAAACAATCGCAGGCTTCTCTCCCCCTGCTCTCCTGCCAAGACTCAAGGCTCAGCTCAAGTCACCAGACTTGTTGGTGTCCCTGGATGTGCCTTAACAACAGCCCCCTCCAGGGAAACTTAGTGTAGACACACTTCACATTCTCCGTGTCCCCGGAGTGCTCTCTGCCCAATCGCAGCACTTAGCACCCTGCTCTCAGCCGCTGGCTGTCCCACCGGCCGGCTCCTGCATGCAGGGACCCAGTGTGAATCATCTTTGAATCCCCAGCGCTACCACCACACCTTCAGTGCTGCAGGGACTCACTGGGTGTTGACTGAAATGAACTACGAGAAGGCCACGCTGGGGCGGCAACCACTGAGCCTGAACAGCACGGGGCCCAGAGCGAAGCCATCAACATTCATGTCATTGAGTTTTCCTTGGGCTGGCGTAGTCTGGAGATATTTGCTGGGCAAATTTTTAAAACTCCTAATTCCAAATTGGTAAGATTAAAAAAAAAGTAGATTAGCTGGTGCAACCCAATTTAAAAGCATTAAGACTCCAAATTTGGTCCAGACTTTTGCAGCTGATAGTAAAACCATCCTGGAAGGGAAAGATAAATTGGAAATAAGGTGCCGTCTGGAGATTTCTTGGTACTGGAAGATGCAGAAGCTGGTAATGCTCTGGGTCCTACAGACAAGGTGCCACCTCTACAGGAGCCCACCCCTTCTCATAAAAGCCTTCACATCCATCCGCTGCCAGAGAATCCCTTCTGCCCTATGACCTCTAGAGCTGTGCTTGACAAAACTCAGACCGTGGAGCCCTAGCAGGTTTGGCTCAGGGCCCGCAGACCGAAAGGTCAGGGGTTTTATTCTGGCCAAGGGCATGGACACGTGTGGGAGGCAACCAATTGGTGTGTCTCTCTCTCACATCGATGTTTCTCTCTGTGTGTGTGTCTCTCCCCATCCCTTCCATTCTCTCTGAAAATCAATGGAAAAATATCCTCAGGTGAGGATTAAAAGAATACAAACTGTAGGAAACAGACCATGGAAAAATCACCTGGGAAGGATGCTGGAAACCCAGCTCCCCAGGCCCCACCCCGGAGCTGACTCAGGAATCTGCCCTGTCAGGTGAGTGGGAAGCCCTCTCTAGAATGACAGAAGATTATGGAAAGTCCAAGACCACTAACCACAGCAAATGGGACAGGGAGGTCAGGGGACAGGCGTTGACAAGGGGACCCCACACGCACCACAGACTTCCTCAGACCCCGCCTCCACTCCCCGGGACAGCTGTAACCTCACCCCCGAGGTCAGCAGAACACAAGGAAAGGCTCCTGGGCCATCACCACACCTCCTTAATCACACAGTGACCGCCCTCAACCAAAGCCAGGGGACCCAAGGCCCACAGAGAGCCTGCCCCAGCCAGCCTAGGCCGCAGCAACAGCAGGCTGGATGCGGGGGCCAGACGTGGGGGCCGGGGGTGCAGTCTGACCCTGTGGGAGGATAACATGAGGAGCAGGAGGGTCTCGGCTCATGGAGCTGCCATCACCTTGACCCAGCTCTAAACTCGTCACTTGGTAATCCACTTCCGAGGTCTTCCCCTTGAGAGAGCATTTATGGGGAACCCAGTGCTCTGGGAGCTGCCTCAACAACACACCAGGACTCCTCCTGGGGCCCCGCCGGCAAACCACCAGCACACGCATCTTTCCTACTTGCCTACTTCACATTCTGTGAAAGAATGGTGACAACGCATCTTGAAAATCATCAAACACCACCAAAGAAATAATATAAAAAATAACCATGTTGCCCAGTTGTCTACCTATCAACCAGGAGGTCACGGTTCCATTCCTGGTCAGGGCACATGCCTGGGTTGTGGACTCCATCCCCAGTAGGGGGCATGCAGGAAGCAGCCAAACAATGACTCTCTCTTATCATTGATGTTTCTCTCTCACTCTCTCTCTCTCTCTCTCTCTCCCTTCCCCTCTCTGAAATCAATAAATATATCCTATATAATAAAAGGCTAATACACAAATCGACCAAATGGCAGACGGAACGGTTGCTATGACACGCACTGAACACCAGGGGGTAGACGCTCAATGCAGGAGCTGCCCCCTGGTGGTCAGTGCACTCCCACAGGGGGAGTGCTGCTCAGCTAGAAGCCCTGAGCTGGGCTCACGGCTGGCGAGCACAGCGGTGGTGGCAGGAGCCTCTCCCGCCTAAGCAGCAGCACTAAGGATGTCCAACTGATGGCTTAGGCCCGCTCCCCTTCTTGGCCTAAGTGGTCAGTCGGACATCCCCCCCCCTCCCCGAGGGCTCCCAGACTGCAAGAGGGCGCAGGCTGGGCTGAGGGACCCCTGAGTTCATGAATTTTGTGACCAGGCCTCCAGTACGTAAATAACCACTGCTGCCAAAATTTCTCTAGCTCAGGATTTCGTATCTATGATGGGAGGCTCCCAATCTCAAATGGCCTCTAGAAAGAAACAGGATTGGTACCCGAAGTAGGCAATGCCACCAAAGGGGGAAGCGCATGGCTAATGGAACCCAGTCCTGGGCCCCATACATCCCTCAGCTTCCTCTGGCCCAAGGCGGGACCATCTCTAACTTCCCGTGAAAACCTCGTGCACTTTCCGGTGTCACTGAAGAAGGGGTCTGCACACCCTCTCCATGTCTGACAACCCTCCCCACTGGGTGGAGAACGGGGACGAGAGAGACTGACCTGTGGGCTGGACGGTGACCACGGTGCCCTCGGAGCGCTTTCGGGTCATGGCGTACCACGAGCCGTCGGGATCCTGGATCCACTCGGCGGCCTCGCAGTAGAACTCGCCCTGGTCAGACGGCTGCAGGTGGAAGACGGTGAGGCGGAAGGTGCTGCTCCCCAGCTTGTCCAGCCGCACCTCCCCCAGGCTCTGCCGCTGGGCGTACTCGCTGCTGGAGTGGAGCACGAAGTCTCGGCTCAGGGCGATGACCTCCACGGGCCTCTCGCTGCCTCTCTGCCGGAGCCAGGCCACAGACACGTGGCTGTGCTGGACCGTCTCGGTGGCCACCTCGCACGTGAGCTCCAGGGGGTCCTGCTCCACCTTGTGCAGCGTCTGGGGCACGGCTGTGGTCTGCAGGGAGTCTGGGATCACTGCAACACAGAGCATCGCAGTGCACAGTCACAATGAAGCCGCAGAAGCGTACAGTCACAGCAACAGAACTGAAGCTGTCCTGCTTTGGGCACATCCTGAGAAAGCAGGGTTCTTTGCAAAAGACAATGATGCTGGGAAAGCCCTAGCCGGTTTGGCTCAGTGGATAGAGCGTCGGCCTGCAGACTGAAGGGTCCCAGGTTCAATTTCAGCCAAGGACACATGCCTAGGTTTCAGGCTCGATCCCCAGTAGGGGGCATGCAAGAGGCAGCCAATCAATAATTCTCTCTCGTCATTGATGTTTCTCTCTCTCCCTCTCCCTTCCTCTCTGAAATCAATAAAAATATATTTAAAAATAATAATAATAATGCTGGGGAAAATGGAAGCAGAAAAAGAGGAAGACTGAAGCCACAGGCATGAGTCCACAGGAGCTGAGCAGGGCTGTTGAGGACAGGACAGTGTGGACATCACTCAGTCACAGGGTCCCCAGGGGTCGAAGCAGACTCAACGACAGGTAACAGCAAAGCTCCCACCCCATGCAGCCTCCACCCATCGCTGCGAGGCCACGGATGACCCCAGATGGCACAGAAACGGGAGTTTTCTGTTTGGATCTGGACTGCAAGTTTCTGGTAATTACTCTTACCTGCTTGGTGATTTTCACAACACTCAGACAAAAGATGGGTTGTATTTGATTTTAAACGAACTCCCTAAAAATACTATGTACAAAGCATGTTCTTTTAGGGGAAATTAGATTTTATTGTTCATTCTGGTACTTGCTTCAAGATACGTGAAATTGGCTTCTGACTGATCTTCAAACGGAAATTGTTCCTGGAACTCGGGGAGTTTTTATCTCTATACAACTTCCTCAATTCCTCCCTTCCAGCCACCGCCCCACATCCCCCCAGCTGATCTCAACAAGGCATTGCGCTAGGAAGGCTATTATTTAAAAAAAAATTTTTTTTTTGATAGAAAAAAGCATCATCATCCTTGATTTTAACAGGTTCAATTTTCATGTAATTGAGGTGCCAAGTGTTCCACACTGGCAGGAAGCCACCGTAGGGGGATGACGCAGGCACGTGAAGCGGCTCTGTGGTTCCTTGGTCAGAATTCTTCCCTGGGGACTAAACACTCCCCCCCCCACCCCCGCCACCTCTGACTGATGAAAACACCCCCGTGTGTGTGTGATTTCTCAGGGTTGGGTTACAGGCCTCCTGCTGGGGTGCAGGCTTGTCAGAAAGGAAAAGTCACCAAAGGAAGCTGGAGGGGGAGGGAGTGGGCAGATGGCAGTGTGTGCCAAGAGGAAGGATCAATAATTCCAGTTTTTATTATCACAAGTAAGCCTGGAAATTATGACTTGGCATGGGAAGGCAAGAGCTAGCTCACGTAGGGCCTTGCAGAACCTAGTAAAGAGCAGAATTTATTCTAAATGTGGCTGACGCCACTAGAGAATTTTAAGCATGGAAAGGACATGATTTGATTAATGTCTTAAAAAATCATTCCGTTACTGTTAGAGAAGAGACTATGACGGCAAAAGAAAAAAAGAAAAGAAATTATGACTTGGGCAGAAAAACAGAACAGCCTGGATAGTGCTAACCCTTCCCCTGAGATCCCTCCATCGCTGGGGACTCGCCCACCAACGGGTGCCCATGCCCCACTCGCTAAGCCAGGACTCCGGACGCCCAGGGCGGAGCAAGGACCTGCAGCTGCACTCACTTCCTGACTCCGTGGCACCCCCGCATCCCAGAGCCCAACTCTGAGGTTTCACCTCTCTTCCCGCTGACATCAGAGGCTTCATCGCCCTCGTCATGTCTTCAGGTGAGCAACCACAGACATCCTTGCTCATATTTTCATATCCCCTTTCACCAGCTAGAGGGCTAGTCAACCTTCTCGGAAATACTTAACATCTGCTTTAGATCTTTGTTAAGTTTTAGCCTTATCAAGGAACACAAGCTTTATTCATTTACATGACTGGTTGACCTCTAAAATATCTGGGGAGGTGTTTTTTTTTTAAAGTCAAATAAAGCTGTACTCTGAAAGAATTAACTCCCCCCCCCACCCCGCCCCGCCGTTCCTTTCTCTAAGAATGTCCTCGGTGAGGATTTTAAGAGAGGGAGAGGGAGAAGGAGGAGGAGGAGGAGGAGGAGGAGGAGCAGGAGGAGGAGGAGGAGGAAGGGAAGGATCAGTCCAAGAGAAGTGAGTCCATATTAGTGCCCCTATAAGGGGACCTGAGCGTGCTCCCTCGCTCCCTCCACCATGTGAGGACACAATGAGAAGTCAGCAGTCCGCAACCTGGAAGAGGGCTCCCACCAGAACCCATGAGGCTGGCACCCAGTTTCCCCAACTGTGAGAAACAAATGCTTATTGTTTAAGCTGCTCAGTCTACAATACTTTGTTACAGCAACCAGAACTGACCATGACACGCAGGCAGGCAGGACACTGGCCACATACCAACGGCTCTCTCCTTACCCACTAGGTTCATCTTGGCGCTGTAGCTCCCGAAGTATCGCTCATCGGTGTTGGGTGTGAAGCATTCGTACTCGCCGGCATCCCGGGCCTGGAGGTCGGTGATGTGCAGCAGGGCCGAGTTCCCCTGGATTCTCTCCACGTAGATCTTCCCGCTGCGCACACGCTGGGTGTAGATGGCGTAAGGGAAGGAAGAGTCCACGGTGCTGACGATCTGGACCTCGCGCTCTGGGGCCGAGGGCAGGTAGATGGACCACTGGAAATTCTGCTCGGAAGATCCCTGGTAGCCGCTCACGTTGCACCAGATGGTGATGTGGGAGCCCTCCGCGCGGTACAAGGGGCCTTCCTGGACGGCGACTTGCCGCTGTGCTGTCACTACACCTACAGGGGACACACACACAACAGGCTCACTTACGACTCCGACCAAAAGCAAAGGAGGCAGCAATCCTCAGAGGGTTTGCTGTTTGTGTGGCAGGACAGCACCATCAGCAGCTCGCTGGCGCTTTCGGAGGCTCTGTGATGTATACTCATCATTAAAACCCTCCGTGGGAAAGCACGGTCCCTAACGGGCATGTGCGGGGACCTGACCGCACGAGGACGTGTGCTGCTATTTATTCAGCAGTTGACCCTTGGGGATGTCATTTAGTCCCTGTTTGTCATTTACGTGGCATTTTAGAACTATTCACATTAAGGCTGCTTATAAGGTTTTTGACAAAATGAGCAGGAAAAGTTGAATCCTTGGCACAATTCAGATGGAAAGGAGTAGAAACAACCTTGCGATCTGGCTGAAATGAAATGCCCCTTTCTCGCTTAGAGGGCTGGCAGGGGTGGAGGGGGAGGGGACAGGCCCCTTCTTTTGGCTGCACCCTTTATTCTCAAAAGTCGATCCTCCAGGACACCCTGTAGAGGAGCACGCAGTCCTTACCCCCTCTGCCCGCCAAGAATGGGGACAGCGCTGAGCCTCCAGGTGCGGCAGCTCTGAGCTGAGCGCACGTGAACTTGCATGATGCCCACACACTGACCAGAGGGAGCTGAGCGCAGATGGGTGACATGCGAGTAAGGCTGCCCTTGAGGTCACGGCTCTGATTCGCCCACCAGCCCTGGTCTTCTGGCCCGGAAATGCTCCCGACGGTGGCCCCTGCCTGCCTTCCCCGTGTTCTCATCATGGTCTCCCTTGCACACTCGGGAACGGGGCAATAGGGTGGGTTTAAGTCTACCAGACCTGAGGCCCTGAACCTAACTGTCCCCTATACCTGGGCCCCTGAGCATTAAAGAGAAAAAACCAACATGATATAGAAAGATGCTAGTTACATGCAAACAGGTGGTTAGAATAAGATGGAACTTGGAGGCATTGTAGAAAATACGTCTACCTTTCATCTACCTTTCATCTAGTGCCAATATTCCACCTTTGTGTGGAAATTACCTAAAAATCGGTACAGCGGTCTTACCAAAAAATCGATACAGCGGTCTCCTTCCAAGCCAGCACAACACTGATTCTGCTCGAGTCACTGAGAAAGTGGGAGTGGACAACCTTGGACCTCCCGTGGGCAGAAAGAGCAGGCGAGGGGTAGGCGCAGCTTTGCCGGGAACTGGAATGGGCTGTCACCCTGGACAAGCTGCTTTGCCCTCGGGACCTTGGTCTCCCCATCTATACCATGGTTTCTAAGAAGGCTTTGCAGCAGACTAGCATGTGTGCTAAAGGCTGACTTTGTCACTTCCTAGCTGTGACCTTGGGAGCGTTACTTCACCTCTCGGAGCCTTAGTTTCCTCATCTGTCAGATGGGGATGATAATGTGTGCCTTACAGGGCCTAGCCCATGACTAGTCCTCGGAAAAGAGCTGCTGGCCCAGGCCCCTCTGGCTGGATCATTCTGTGCCTCAGGATCCAGAGGACAGGCCAGTGATAACACAAGGACATCCCAGTGGTCTCTTGTCAGTGACACCATCTCTGGGCCACCCACCTCCACGCACGGCTGCAGCCCACTCCCTCCCACACAGAACCACAGCTGCCCCAGGGTAAACCTATCTGTCGTGGATGCAGCTGGTGAGCAGCTGGGACAGCTCATGTCCTAGTGGGCTCAGCTCGAAGCCCCGCCGGGGGGTGTCTGTGCTCCAGCCGCTGATCTAACATGCAACATGACCGACTTTCAAACAGACCTTACAAGGTAAAGCTTGGGACTCATAAACTCTTACTTGCAAAGAATCTCTTCTCCCAAACAAAACCTTCCACAGAACTCTGTCTCGGCTTCAGCAGAAGCAGGGAAACTAAAAAAGTGCGTGTGTGTGTGGGGCGGGGGGGGTGTTACAAATCAACAGATCCAAGTGGCATGTGAATTTACACCATACACCCCGGTCGACAGCATTCCTTTCTACACTGAAAAGTCGCGTAGAAGACAGCTGGTTAGTTATTTACCGTTAGTATGTTAACGTTTGCTGCATCACATTGTGACCACGTGCCCTTTAGGACACTTTGAAACATTGAGCTGGTGACATTTGAACAAATGTCTGCAGCGCTCCAGAATCGCAGAGACTTTGAAAACAATGTAAGCACATTTATACCACTTAGGGCTCCTTGATCTCAGTGCTCTGTGACTGGGCAGCTGTGACCACTCCCCACCCGGTCACTCCCACCCGCTGCTGAGAAGGCTGGAGGCGGGCCAGGACCGGCCAGCATCTTGCTTGAAGGGACTACCTCTCAGCCATGGGCCCTCCCTGGACTCTCCCGGGGAGCTTGAATAAATAACCCTGCCTGGACCCCAGACCAGGGTCAAGGCCGCTGCCTTAAGGTGTCTCTGCTTGCCCAGTGCCAGCCAGGTGCCCAGATGAAAGAACCTCTGCTAATTTAAGGCTCTCAATCACTTTAAGCTCCTCCCTTCAGAAAGACTCCATGTTTGCTTGGATGAAGAACGTGTCCTTCCCCTGTAGGGAGAGGGCAGAAGCAGGCAGCACCCGCCATCAGATACAACGACTGTGATACAATACAGAGCTCACCCAGAGTGGATTCTATTGACAGACCTTACAAAAGCACTCGATCCTCGGATCCTGCTCATTGCTCTCCCGAAAGTTAAACAGTGTTAAGTGGCCTGAATGAGCCCGGGGCATCAGGGTCAAAACCACTTGTCCGAGCCGGAAGCAGGTTATAAACGCCCTGGCAAATAAATAAATACTGGACTGTACTTGAACCAAACACATTCAGCTGCACCTGCTTCCGCTTATGAAATATCTCCTTCAGTCGCTGAAAATAATGCTGTTCTTAGGAAGTGGACCTTTCCATAGAAATAAAAATTAACCTTTTCTTCTCAGCAGCTTATTCCCCTTCCACACCCTGCCCCGCCCATTTCCTTCCCCTGGCACTGGCCCTGCTGTGCAGAGCTCCTTCTCCTACACGGCTGCCTTCAAACAGACCTGGTCCCCAGCCCTGGCCAAGGCCTCCCTGGCCCAACCCCTTCCCCATCTTCCCTCTCAGCCTAGCACAGAAGGCTCCTCTGAGCAGGGTTCGCCTTTTCCTTTTAGATAACCATTTTTACTTTTGACATTCCTGCACTCCTTGAATTACTTAGCAGCACACAAATATCACTTCTGTAATTCAAAAAGAAAAGATCAAAGTATTATATATAACTGTATAAAAAGAGCTAGACACAAAAGGCAGAAGAGAAGTGGAAGATAAAAATAGGAACAAAAAAGCAAACAAACAAGGGCAACAAATAAAAATAGTAATGGATTTGGTAGATATCAGTCCAACTATATCAATAATCACTTTGTCAATAGTCTAAATGTAGCAATTAAAAGACAGATTGCCAGCCTGGCCGGCATGGCTCAGTGGTTGAGCATTGACCTATGAACCATTAGGGCATAGCTCGATTCCCAGTCAGGGCACACCCAGGTTGTGGCTTCGATCCCCAGTGTGGGGCATGCAGGAGGCAACCCATCAATAATTCTCTCTCATCACTGATGTTTCTATCTCTCTCTCCCTCTCCCTTCCTCAATGAAATAAATAAAAATATATATATATTTTTAAAAAAACAATAGAAAAATATCCTAGAGTGAGGGTTAAAAAAAAAGGGGGGGGGCGGGGGGCAAAGTCCTTAACAGACACCTCACCAAAGAAGATACACAGATGGCAAGTAAGCCCATGACAAGATGCTCTACATCAGATGTCATCAGGGAAATTCAAACTTAACGATGAGATACCCTATTACTATTACTATTTATTACTATTACTATTACTATTTATTACTATTACTATTACTATTACTATTACTATTACTATTAGAATGGCCAAAATGCAGAACACTGACACCACCAGATGCTGGTGAGGATGTGGAGCAGGAGGAACTCTCATGCATTGCTGGTGGGGATGAAAATGGTACAGACACTTTGGGAGGGAGTTTCACAGTATCTTACAAGACTAAATATATTCCTCCCATACAATTCAGCAACAGTGCTCCTTGGTATTTATCCAAAGAAATGGAAATCTTGTCTACACAAACCTGCACATGGATATTAATAGCAGCTCTATTCATATTTGCCAAAACGTGGAAGCATCAAGATGTCCTTCAGAGGGTGAATAGATAAACTGTGGCACATCCAGACAAGGCAATCATTAGTCAACACTAAAAAGAAAGGAGCTGTTAAACCATGAAAACACACAGAGGAAACGCAAATGCATGTTCCTAAGAGCAAGAAGCCCATCAGAAAAGGCTCCCCTGCATGCGTCCCAAGTTGATGACATTCTGGAAAAGGCAAAACTATGGAGACAGTAAAAGGATCAGTGTTTGCAGCGGCCGAGGAGAGGAACAGGAAAAGCACAGAAGGTTTGCAGGGCAGTGAAAATACTCTCGATGGTATAATGATGGGTACATGTCATTATACATGCATTTGTCCAAACCCATAGAATGTACAACATCCAGAGTGAACCCTAAGGTAAACTATGAACTCTGGGTGATTATAATGGTGTCAATGTAAGTTCATAGTTTGTAATAAAGAAAATGCCCCTCTGGTGAGTGATGCTGATAACGGGGGAGGCTATGCCTGTGTGGGGGCTGGAGGGCATGTGGAAAATCTCTGTATCTTTCTCCTAATTTAGCAGAGCACAGTTCCTCCCATTGAGATTTTTTTAAAGTCTTTTTTAAAGAGCAGTTTTAGATTTACAATAAAATTGAGAAGGATTTACTGTTCTTTCAAGCCTTAAGTTTGAGGAAATGTGTTTTATACTGATATATGACTAATATAGATACCTGTGGGTTCCGAGCTTAAATTTAAAATTGTGTCACATGTACATGTGTGTGCTTTTCTAGATTTCAAAAGGTTCTCAAAGAGATTCAAGGCCAAGAAAAAAGATTAAGAATCATTTGCTTTAGACAATAAATGGTCAGTGGGAAA